TATATATATATATATATTATTTATGTACCTATATACTTCGATATGGTATTTGACATTTCGATATGTTGTTTCTAAAAATCAAATACCGTATCGAATACTAAAAAAATTTAAAATATATACCATATATCATATCAAATACAATAATATCAAAATTACAATACTAATTTTTTTGATATAATATGATAATTCGATACATACTATTCCACGCCCACTCCCAATGCCTGTAGTATTTGTTTGACTTTTCAGTTTTCCTATAATGACGGCCTCGCAATATAATATGTCTGTTTCTCGTGCAATATAGGGGAGATGCCTAATGTGGGTTAGTTTAAATTTTCAAATTTATCCTCATTAATTAATTCAATAGGTTTATAGAAGACGGGAAATTTAGTACTACTCTTTATTTAGGGAAAAGGAAGAAGATATTAGTAATTAATAAGAGAATTCAATGTAAAAAATAAAGAATTTTGCGGTAATAATATATAAATGTGTATTTATAACTAACATTTTATATAAATATTATTAATGACTTTAGTGATTCTGGATATAATGACATTAACTCGAAATTGTTGTTAATGTTTTTGTGTCAACAAATATTGCCACTAAAAAGAATTCTATTGCCAATAAATATCTCTTTTGTCAGTAGTGACTGAACACATTTTAGTAATACAATCGAGTTGAAAATATAAATTTTAAAGATAACAACAATTTCAAGTTCTAGCAATTGGATTCCAATTATTTTTAATACAAATTTGATAAATTTCTCAATATATATAATTTGAATCAAAGCTGATGAGTTTTGTCGAATCCATTGCTTCTGCCCCTGATTTAGTAATGAATAAAAACAAGTAAAATTAAAGATGCACCTTCCTAGTATTGACGTGGTATCATGATTTGTTGCTTTCAAAAGCTTTTCTGCAAATGCATGTTTCAAGTTTCATAGCCAAAGACAGAACTATCTACCAAAAATTATACATACTGCCTTCCATATAACACGTGTGTTTTTGTGCCCATTAGGCCTTGGCAGTTGGCTGCATATTGGACTTGGAACGTCAATAAGTACTGGTGGAGTCAAAATTTTCACTAATGAGTTGCAACGTCAATAAGTACTGGCGGAGTCAGAATTTTCATTAAGAAAACCCCTTACCCATACCTAGTATGGCCCCATATTGTCAATGAAAAATATCATGGAGCTTATATATTTGTGTTTGTGATTTTTTATATTTTGACAATTCAAGAATAGAGTGATGGAGTTGGTGGCTCTACGATTGAGAAATCAAAAGATAATAGTCATGAAATTTGTGGTTCCATAAATGAAAAAGTCATGGATTTCATGACTTTAAGAGTTACTTTACATTAAAGTATAAGTAATGAATACACAAGGAAGGGAAAGGGATAAAAAAAATATTTTTAAGTGTTTCAAACTCACGTGGGTCTAAATGTGATCTTTGTTGCTTCACTACTTGTTACAAACCTTCCACAATGCACATTATTATTATATTATAAAGTTGGCTAATAAAGAGTTTGCAGTAAAGTGTGTTTATAAAATTTAGTATAATTCTAAAAAACGGCTCCACTCCATGATAAAATTTGAACATTGTCCCGGAGTTTTTCGCATTCCCAATTCAAATACTAGTGGGTTGTTTGGTTAGTTAAATAAAGAACAATAATTAATTTTGAATAAAATACAACATTATTTTATCTAGCTTTTAATTATAGATATTAATTAGTTTTGATTTATATCTCAATTCATAAAATATCTTGTCTATCTATTGATAAACCAAATGGGTGCGGGTTTTATTGAAATTAAACATATGTCAAATATATTAAAAAGTAGATGACTTTGATGATCCATTATCACTCATTAAGCGATCGTTCAAACAATCCATTCTCACGTTCTTTGTAGATCAAGCATGTTCACAATTTTTGTGATTTGTGAAGGGCCACAAGACCTTTAATTATTAGTCCATCA